CATAATATCATTCAACAACTACAACAGTTTAACAACTTATAATACAACAAAATTACCATTATAACTCATCAAAGCCACTTTAAACCTCAACATAATAATGACACATAAGCTTTTACACATTTTCACACCATTTCATAACAATTTCAAATAACTCAACATACTAGAATTCACAATTCAATTTAATAGTACAATTTAAACACATCATACAATCATGGATTATAACATGTTTACCAATCAAACTTTAATTAAACTAACTTCTCTTACTTGTTAGAAACTTAAACCAGCTCTAGAGACTCCTAATATGTTTTCTTAGTTCAAAGACATCAAAGAACACGTATTCGCAATGAAAACATGATTATGATCAGGGTATACCATTAGAACCACTTATCAGTAGAAAATCTAAAAAAAGACTCAAATCTTACATGCTACAGAACCAAACACCACATGCATTGGAAAACATGAAACTAAAGAAAAAAAGAGAATAAACTAACTTACTATGTTTGAAAAACTGATAAGGTAAACTGATGAATTTTATTGATAGATTAATTATCGACGAACATGTCTATTGGTGAAATTCGTAGAAAAATTTTGTTTTGTCGAATATATTTTTTATCAATAATTAATTATGCAATATGATCTTGTAATAAATAATTAATTTCTAATTTAGTTTATTTTATTTCATTCGTTAAATTTATTTATTATGTATATTTCCATAGTTGATTCAATTGTACATGTGTTTTAGCCTACTTTTCAGACCAATTCATAGGTTAAAGTAAAGAAGACAACCCACACAATTGAATATTCAGAAGGAGATTCACAAAAACTAGTGGATGATAAATTATGCAGTTTTATTTGGTGCATGCAACAATTTCCGGCAACATCTCTGTTATCGATGAATATGGGGTTAATTTATTTCTCCGATTTCCATAGTCTATTTTCCCTTCGAATGAAAAGAAAAAAAGTTCAAACATATGTCATGGCAAGAGTTCACAGCAAGAGAAAATGATAGTTATTTTTATCCTGTCCACATATTTTTGTGATTTTCCTCTATGTTTTGTGTAAAAGATTTTATGCATGGAAGAAAGAAGAAGAAACTCTAAAGTTTATGTAATGTAACCACATAAGATTTGAGAGGAGAGATGATGAATTTATTTCTTTTTAAAAACTAAATAATAAACTATTTTAATACCTATAGAGTTTTTTTTCCTCAGAATATATATATATATATATATATATATATATATATATATATATATATATACCAACAGGGACCGGACGCCGTACGGAAGGACACCCGCGTCCTCGTGCCGGCCGCCCACATCACCATACGGGACCCAGAAAACTCCCATGTTTACTTACTGATTGGGAAGTGTTTAGTGTTGACGGGCGGACGTCCATCTACCCGTAATTACTCACTGTTGTGAAAGGATATATATGGCCGGGTGGACACCCGTCCGCCCATAATCAAGACTCGCCCGAAACCAGCCGCCCAGGTCGTGTGTCCGCCAGGACCGGTCGGCATTAAGGACATGACCCGAGGGCGGCCGGTCGCATCACTAACCATCTGAGTTTAAGGTAAGTAGGGTTTAAGAGCTATTGGGCTGAATTGGGCCGTGATTAACTTTTCACTAATCCCAAGCCCATAGCGAAAACTATAAATACAGATCCAGGGTGAGTGGTAGATGGATCGCATTTACTGCACATTTATTACTGTCTGAGAAAAACGCCTTAGCTCTCAACTGACTTTGGCATTGGAGAATTTTTTGCAGGTCTCCCACTGGCGTACTGAGAAGTGGACACAGAAGATCCGACGTACGGAAGACGAGAAGCGAGTGATGTGGAAACGTGGGACCAACACTGCCCCTCACATCCGAAACAATATATATATATATATATATATATATATAGTATTTTAAATATGGGATACATTTGTTTTTATTAATTAAATTTAAAATTGATTATGTTAATATGTATAATTTGAAAAAAAAGAATGTTGTTTGATCTTCTACCTAAACATCGTTAGAATGAATATTTTGAAGAAGAAAAAGAACATGTGGCTTTAGTCTCTCTAATCTAAAATAATTGTTTGTCACTTCAATTTAAAATCGCTGCTTTTAGTCACATAATTTGAAAAAGAAAATTTGTTTTAATCTCTTTATCTGTGTATCTTATACTTATATATCGTTAGAATAAACATTTAACATGTGAAGTCATCAAAAAAATGTAAACCTAAAGTAAATTATTATTTAAACGATTTTACTTTAGTGCATAAGTGAAATTTTAATGCTATTTTAGACTAAGGGAATAAAATATTTTTTTAAATTACAAAAAATATAGAGAACATTTTAAATTTGAAAGACTTTACACTTACCTCAAATTTGAGAAAATAAAGATATATTTTAACTTTTTTGGGTTTATAACTAATGCAAATTGTGTGCATATATTAGCATACCCCAAAATTAAATTAGTATATTTTTTTGTTTTTTTAATTAGTTGTTATCTTCCTTAATTTATTCATTTGCTACACGAATGGAGCAGCTAAGGGTGCATTTTCGGGATGGTTGTGGTGGAGCTATTTTGCTTGGTCGTTAAATAAACACAATAAGCTTAGATATAGATAGTTGAACAGTCCATTTTATTCACATTTTTAGGGAGAAAAATTAATGAATTTAGTGACTTAAGTTCTACATCCCAAAGTTTATCTTGGTGGGATAATAAACCTATTTTCTCAAATCAAAAATGTTTTTTTAATAGATTTTCTTCGCCGAATCATAGTGTTTTTTTTTTTCTTTTTCTGAAACATGATAATTTGATAGTCACCGAAAAAACATGTATCTGCTCGAGAATTATTTTAATAATATAAAAATATATATTAATATTTTAAATTAAAAAATTATTCTTAGAATATTCCAGCTTTAGATTGTCCTGTGGTTACCTTTTTCTTTTATAGTTGTTGTCACCATTAGTTTTCCTAATAGATCTTTTCCTAGTTTTCTCACTTTAAGACTGTTTGACTTGGGGGTGCTGCAGAATGATAGTTGTTATTTTGAGAATAAGATACTTATACACTTCTATCTTAAAGAAACACTTATTTACTATTCAACTGTATAGTTGAATATTTTCATTAAGCTATTGTTTAAAGTACCAAATATGTTGAATAATAATAATAATAAAATTTAAATATTTGAAACTATATAACAATAAAATATTTCCTTTGATTACTTATTGAGGATTTAATGAAGTTTGGAAATGTGGCGTACTGGTGGGACCCAATGACCATGGAGTGTGATTTGTTCTAAAGCCATGATTTGAAAGGATGATTAAAACTCTGGCTTCACTTTAAATGAAAACTTTTCTTGCACAGAAACCAGAAACGACTCGATAATATATCCTCATAGGCTCACCAGAATATGTGGATTATCTTTACTTTCTTTCCCTTCAAATCGTTAGTGGTTCAAACACGTAATATCTGTCATTATTATAAAGAAAGAAAAAACATGGATTTAAAGAGAACATGTCTTCAAGAAAAAAAGCATTTACTTTTATAGGATATGCAATCTCTGCCATGGATTAATACTACTTGCCTAGTCCAGGGAATTCATTACCAATAATATTCAGAAAGCAAAACCAAGCCACACTGCTGATAAACAACTTGTGTATTAAATTGTGTATTTGACTATTCAGAAATTAAAATCGGCCATATACCTAACCCTTCACGTAACCACAAGAATAATTATTGATTCATAGCAACAAAAAGTCAATACAATCGATATCCCTTCACTCCATAATAATAATATTATATGCATGTATGTATGTATATGTTTACAAACAAAAGGTAAAATTCTAGATACTTTATAATTGCTGTATTTTCAATCTTCATTTCCTTGTCATCTTCTCTTGCTTTTAATTTTTATACAAAAGATGCTCGACAACCAGCAAATTGAACTACAAACTGACTTTGATACATTCCTATAATCAAACATCTGGTTGTTATCGTTCTTCAATGATAAATAAGAAAGTAAAAAACTTAGGCCCTTTCCGGTTGCTTTCCAATCTGGTCAGAGTATGCCACTCAAGAAGCCCCTGTAAGAAAATGCACTAATAAACAAAAATTGCTTGACATAACTTTCCATAAAGGGGGATAAGTACGAAATAATAGTGGACTGAGGACAAAAGTTACTAACCAAATCCCTGAGGTTTTCCTAGATTCATTACTGCAAAATTATCAGACAAAATGTTCAATTCTATTTTTAGCAAGCATAAATGCTACATAAGGAAGTCTGATAAGACGGAGTGCATTTCTAGCTTTCAGCTCAAAAAATTAGACAACAATTACCTTGGTTTTCCTTGGAAAGCATCGTTAATTTCATCAGTACTAGGCCTCTGTGTAAACGTAGACAGAATAGCATACTTCTCCTTCCCAGGCGATTCATCTACCCTCTTGTACAGCTCATATTGGTTTGGGTAAGTCATTCTACATCAAAAGAAGTTAATTTACAGTACCGTATTGTGTACTTGCAGAAGATAAAAAATGTGCTTGTATTTTGAGCATATAAAAGAATTAATATCTAATTTGGTTATATTACAATTAGGGAAGGTGTTTTCTCAACACTCAAATCATGGTAACGAAGCTTTACACTTTCAACATTGTTGTTGGAACTATGACAAAAATAATAAAAAAGAGGAAGCAAGGCAAACAAAATACGTCTAAATATGAGCTGCAAGCAAGGAATCTGTTATTCTATGGATAAAAAACGTTAACATTTATAATTGTGGGAAATCGTAGACTGACAAATTAAGAGACATAATTATTGTTATGAATAAGGACAAATTATAATATATTTTGAAATGTAATCTTTACTTTACAAGTCAGTTTTTGTAAGGTTGAATTAAATATAAACCACTTAATAAGAATTATCCCCAACTAACAAACTTGCTCCGTAAGTCAAATTGTCCAACTATTATAAATTTATGTTCTCATCAAACTGAAACAGAAATGCTTAGTTTTTCCTAGGTTGACAATAGGGGTGATAGCATCAAATTGAACTTCTAAAGCAGATTGGGCAACAATTTCTTGTTTTTTGAGCTCCATGAGAAAAACTCAATCCAAAGCCAAAATAGTACCTTGAAGTATTCCTGATAAGGTTTTTTTAAAAGAACAGAAAAAGATTGAATGAAGACTCAAATGGAACATGGATGATTTTTATTTTCTGCAGAACAAGAAAATCAGTAAGATATGAATATCTCACTGCCCAAAGCCAAGCTCCTAAGAGAAACCAAGAATGGCTCCCTCTCTACTGAAAAACAACTAAATGTTTTCAAAACTTCCTTCCTGATTCTTTTTAAAACAACCACACCCCTTTCTCTCTCTTCTAACCAACCTATTCCTCCCTACTATACCACGTCACCCTTCCTAGTCTTTTTCCTCTCATATACTCTGCCCCACCTGTGCTTGACCTTTTCTTCTTGGATCAAGGGCTCATTGAGCCCAATAAGGTTTGGGTCTGTATCAATACCCCTTTCTTGAAATAGAGCCTTGTCCTCAAGGCTAAATTCTGGAAACTGACTTCTAATGATCACTTCATCTTCCCAAGTAGCTTCATCAACATTTTTCCCCTTCCACTGCACAAGAACTTGCTTCTTAATTTTCCCTTTCTTTGTGTTTTCCCGAGTAGCCAAGATCCCTTCAGGAGTTAATAATTCTGCTCTATCATCCTCCAACCAGTAGGGCGATCCTCCTCAACCTCATACTTACCCACAGCTGTCTTTAATAATGATACGTTAATTTGACATCAAGTTGACAAACTTTTCAATTCTGTTGAGCATCTACACCAACCAACAAGTTGATGGTGTCTTATCAAACAACTAGTGCAAATGTATTGAGTAATCCACATCAAAAACTTTAGCATAACCCTTCACTACAAGTCTATCCTTGTGTTCATTAATATAACCATCAACATTAAGCTTAGTCTTATATACCCATTTGATTTCAATAACTTCCTTGTCTTGTAGTCTTTCTGAAACTAGGTTTGATTTCTCCTTATCATTAAGAGCTTCACCTTCATTACAATAACCCAAATTAGAGTCTTTTGTTATACTTCTTAGTTTGCAGGTTCACATACAACAATGCTACATTTGTCACAAACATAAAAAAAGAACAATCTAGTACCTCTTATAGGAACATCATCAACTAACTCATTCTACCAACTTTCATCTTCTAAACTTGAGCGAAAGTTTTGGTACAAATCTTTAAAAGCTTGATCAATCTTCTTTGGTTCATCCCAATTTCATTCTTCACCTATCTTAGGGGTTGGAAGGTATATGAGAGAAGAAGGTATAGGAGAGAAGGAGAAGGCCGAACGGTGGAAGGCAGAGAAAGGTCAAGCCGAACGGTGGAAGGCGAGGAGAGATCAGGCCGAACGATGGAAGGCGATGAGGAGTCGAGCCGAACGGCTGAAGGCGGTAAGAGCTCGAGCCGAGCGATGGGAAGCAACGAAGAACATGAGCCGACCGGTTGAAGAGCTACTATCCTAACTGTTGTAGCAATTAGGATAGGCGGGAAATATTTAGTAATAATTATAGTAAATAGAGCTATATCCTAGGGAAATATTCAATATAAGTTAATTATAGTAAATAGAGCTATATCCTAGGGAAATATTCAGTATAAGTTAATTATAGTAAATAGAACTATATTCTAGGAAAATATTTAATATAAATAAAGCTAGATGCTATTGTTTAGGATATGCTTTTGATTATTGAGTTTGTTGACAGGCAATTGTAGTCCTGTGAGGGAGGTTATGGTCCCAACTATCTTTGTTTGAAGAATTCTATTACCATTAATAAGAGAAATTCATTCTTTCATTATCGTTTTCTACCTACTGTGATCGTGAATAATTACGTCTCCTACTTGGAAACATAACAACCTACCACAAAGTGAACATCCTTGCTAACAAAGTTAGAAATAAGTTTTGTGCCGATACAACTTGTGATTGCAGTAGTCCCCTTTCCTTTGATTAAGATCATTTCAATTCTAACTTTGATAACACTAGTTGGCCTCAAATCTGTTAAGAGTGCCTTATCAAAGATCATGTAATTAGTACATCCAATATCAATCAACCAACCAACTTTCAATTGATTCATTGCTCAAGAAACAAGTGGCCACAAACAATTGGTCTTCCTCCTCTTGATTAACAATCTAAGCTCAACATGGTGATTTTTGTTGAGAAAAACCACAGCTTCATGTCCATTTGGTTTCACTTGCAGCATTTTGCATCTAGTCTCCTCCAACATCTGAATGGTGGATGGCCTTTTTTGCTACAATTTTTATAAGGTTGAAAGTCGTTTTCTTTTTTTTTCCCTTGTCTTTAATGTTGTTGTTTATTGTGTTGAATGAAGCCTGATTTTGCTTGAAAATTTTCTTTTAATTCTTCTCAACATCATTATTTTTTTTGGCTTGCAAAGTACCTTCAACAACATGATAATGTCTCATCAGCCTTCACTGTTGTTGGGCTTGCAGAGAATGTAGCACTTTTGCAATAATCTTAGTCATATTATTTGTATTCTCCAATGAGGATATAGATGTGTACCTCTTCAACATTGTTACCCAACAGCTTTATCTAGTGAGCAATATCCAATAATTTTTTTGAGTATTCCTTTATTGTCTAAAACACTTTCATCATTTACAATTCAAATTCTCTCATTGAATTAAGCACCCACGTGCTTCATACTCTTTCATCTCCGATGTATTCCTCCTTCAAATAATCCCAAATTTCATTTGTTATTTTGAAAGCCATAATTCTAGTGAATATGGTCTTAAAACACTAGCAAAAAGACATGACATTGTCTTTACCTTCCTTTTTTTCTATTCATGTGACTTTTGATTTAGACCATGGTATGATCATCGACAGTATCCTCTTCCACAGTTTCCTAAAAATCAAATGCCTCCGCATAAGAATACATTTTTACTGCCCAAGGTTTTTCACAATCTATTCTGGAGGTCCAGTAAGAAGAGGGCTCTAGATACTCATTGGAATTATGGCAGAAAAAATAAAAACATAATATGTCGGTATATTTTGAGCTAAATAATATTCTATGAATCAACAACGTTTACATTTCTAATTATAGAAAGAGAAATCATAGACTGACAAATTAAGAGATATAAAAATCAATAACAATAGAGTTGCTCCTCACGTAAAAGTAGTAACTGACTGACTACTACAAAATTTACGTGCTCAGCAAACTAAAACAAAAATATACTCATGAGCAATACAACTTTTTTTATCAGCGAGTCATGAGCAATACATAAAGAAAATATTTAACAAAATTGTTCATTCCATCATCATGTCACCCCATTTATAGAAGGAAGCAAACATAATGTTATCTAATAGCACCACCCAGAATAAACATCAATCAATTCGATTGGGTTTAATGAACATATGGAAGCGTGGTCTTTAACTTTCCTACAGTTCCTAAAACGCCTTTCTGCTGATCATACAATCTCATTGGATGTTTTGAGAGGCTATTCAATGAAGCAAGCATAGACACATGGTCGCTCAATTATCTTAATTATCTTTTTCTTAGTACACTATTCCTAGTTTTCTTCTTGAAGTTAAACAATGACACATTAGATTTATAGAAAAATTTAATGATGAAATATGTTACTGTCTAACCTGATAGCTCCCATTATGGGATACTGGGTTCCTGCATAATACAGAAGTCGAAAGAAGTAGCAACTTTCAAAAGATGCTGCATACTTGAGCCTCTGGTCCCTCCCCATCGTCTAGTGATTAAGAAGGCAAAGTTATAATCATACTTTTACAAGAATAAATTGTTATCTTCAACTCGGTGGTTTAGTACTCACTTGCATTATACCACTAGAACCAGGCAAATCCTGAATTCATAGAAATTTGTCAATTTAATATATGAGCAAAATAAAATGTAAAAATATCATTTAAAGAGGGGTCACAGTATAAACATAAAATTAATCGAGGACCACACAAACAAATATATTTAATGAAAAGTTGAAAGCTAAAAAATCTGAATATATTATATACTTATAATGTAAGTCTAATTGCTGGTTTCAGCACCTTAAAATGTTAATAGTGTAGAGCATATTTGCAGAAAAGTAGCAAGATGTAATTTACTCAAATTTGGTAAACTAGATGTTTTAATTTAATACGAAGACCCAAATGTGCACCAAGTGGTGCTACACATTGTTCTAAAAAGAAGTCAGCTATTCAAAGATGAATCTTAACATCTAAGAATGAAATCCAAGATAGTCCAAGAGCCTAACCTAGCAAACATATTAACATAATATAAGGAAACAAATATTTGGGTTGTTTTTTGGGTGGATTGCAACCTCACATTAAGAATCAGGTGCAAGCTTTTTCTTGAAAATCAGGATAGAATATTTACATTAAACATATAGAGGTATGCAACAAAATATTTAATTTAAGAGGGAACAAAATATCCTCTAATTCTTTGTAATTAATACAATAAGACTACATAAACCAATCTTTATGGTGCCTTAGAACACAGTCCTCTACAAATTACGCTTCCAGTCAAGCTATGCAGTATGCACACAGCATAGAGGCTGAAAGAAATGAACTAGGATTTCGAAGATTATTAGACCCAAAGATATGAATTTCCCCTCAGACATTGAAAAATCACAAAAGCAAAGAACAAAGAGAACCCTTTTCTCACACAAGAACTGAAAAACTTAAATCGATGCCAAATGGGAGGTCACTGTCCCTTGGAAGGGGTTCAAGAGGTCCTAACACCCTGTCTGTGGCTACACACATTGGCACTGGTGGTGACGTGTAATTATACTTGCCAACTCTAATGGCGACACAACTATCAACATTGTAATTATTGACATGAGATGAGACACATCTTTCTGGCCCACCATTGACCTCAACAGTGGTGGTGGTAGGGCAAACTGCAGTTGTGGTGGTTGTTTACATGGAAACGAAAACAGAGATCCCAAAATCAAAACCTCTGATACCAACTTGAAGTATGTAGGGAAATAAATTATTTTGTTGATAACAATGACACCATTACATTCTCATTGCCTTTATTCGTAATAATCCAGCTCTCTAAAATAAGGAAGTGTAAATATGATGAAATGAATAGGAAGATTTTAAAAATATTTCCTCCTAATCAATATGGAAATATTCAGGATATTTGTACCCTAATAACGTGCTATTTACAACATTACACACTTAATAGGAGGTCTAACAGCCTCTAATCAAGACATGGCAATTGTTCCTTTCAGTAGTTTTACACATCTAATCAATTATTCAAAAAGATTGAAATCATTCAAAATCATTTATCAGCATAAAATTGTCTAGACTATACTAGTTGGCAATAAGTTTTCTGTGCATAAACTGATTATTTGACCCAGTACAGTGTCAGATTCAGGCTATCTTCATTTCGATAAGTCAAGACTATCTGAAAAACAAGCTGTAAATCATTCAATTATTTCATTAAATAAATTTGGCTATAATAAAGGAGCTACGAACTTAACCTTAAGCCTAGCATTGACCAGAATAACTGGTCTGTGTTCAGCTGCGTTGGTCATGGCTCTTAGATCCTGTATTTACAACCTCAAACATATTAAAGAGAAAAAAGAGAGAAAAGCAAGGAGAAGTTGAAGAAAGCGTGTATATCCATAAAGAAAAAGAGGAAAAAAGGCTCAACAAATAAAGCTTCTAAAATATATCAGTAAAACTCCCACCATATTCACTTACATCAATAATACAATTCCCAACAGCATTTTGAGGAGCCACCAAGATAAACATGTCATCTTGCTCCCCAACCTCAGCAGCACCTGAGATTGGAATTTCATACATTAATTAGATGCCAAATATATCAGAGCAGGAAGATGCCAAATATATCAGAGCAGGAAGATGCCAAATATATCAGAGCAGGAAGAAAAATAATTTGCTTCAAAAAGGCAGAGTAAGATAGATATTCTCAATATGAAGTTATGAAGAAAATATCAAATTCAATCAGGATGGCAAAGCAAATAAATACAGAGAAGTAAAGTTAGATATTAAGACTTAAGCTAGAATCTGGAATTTCGAAAATCTAAGGGGGTATTGGGTATACAGGGAATTTTCAGTTTTCAGTGAGTCAAAGTTTGGAAAGCTTGTTTCCCATATTTGGATTATTTTTTTAATACATAACATTCCTATAAAACAATGTTTTCTTTTCAATTTTTTTAGGTATCTTTTCCACAAAATTGTTCCTATGTGATAAATAGTTAAAGTTTGTAGTAAAAATATCATGTTACTTTTTCTACCAGAAAACTTAAATAAATATTCTTAGGAATATTTATGACCAACCAAACATATTTTAGTTACTTCTAGAAATCATAATTCTCAGGATTCAGTGGTTCCCAAACACGGAATAAACTTCCCTATTACCAAATGCCTCCAGAAGGTGTGCAATATATAAATACATCAGGGGTATTGGATCAAAAGCTGAACAGCAACCATACATAGTAAATTTAAATGATATACCTATAGAACCAATATTGATGAAGGTTCCTTTTGCTCCATAATCACCCCAGTCCATGAACTCTAAAATCTTACGAGTTCCAGCAAGCTGCAACGGCATTCCAGCAAGAGCACCATCTCCCATCGACCCTTGTACACAAACCTGCATGATGAAGATGAAGATACTTTAATTAAAAAGAATTACACCTAACAATTATAGAAAATAGCATCATTTTATTCCCTATATAATGAAAATATTCTATGTTTGAGAAAAAAGAGTATGAAAGATACCTTAACCCGTTTTCCATCATCCGCAAAAGAGAGGGCAAGAGCTCGAACAAGTTCCATCAAGGTACCTATTCGATAAACATCCTGTAAACCACAATATGTGGTCAAATGATACATTTAGAAAAAAAAATAAAAGAACACAGATCTGCATACCATTTCTGGGTTCAGCTCAGGAATGTTGATGTCAACCTATTTGATTTGGAATGACAAACAAAAGCATATATTAGCCTGCAATCCAAGGGAATTAAAAGCTTAATATTTTTACTCCTCATCTTCCTACCCTTCGGTACTCTTTATCATTGAATATTATGCATGTAGTAAGAATGTTGATTTGTTTTACTAAAAGCAGGAAGTGCTATTGCATCACTATTTCGCATGTTGATTTGTTCTAGAAGACGCCACTTGGGAGTTCTTTGATTTGAAGAAGAAATATCCAAATTTTCATCCTTGAGGACAGGGAATTTTTCAAGGCAGGGGAATTGATAAGGAAATCAATAAGGAAGCCACGTGGCAGCCAATTTCTTAATTCATAATTCTATTGCTATTTGTTATGATTGTTAGTTGTTTCAATTAATAAATACACAACTCGGAGGTGAGCTGGTATGATTTTCTGGTTGAATAACAGTCTTCTTCTCTCAACTCACTTTGCATCACTTCGGATTCATCCTTGAATCCCTAAGGTTTGAAGTTCTTCAAATAAATCTCTATTCTTAAAACTTCCTTCATCATATTATGGTCACACAGGAAATTCCCTGGCACCATCAGAGATCCCGACATTAACTTTTTTTATTTTTTACATTTAAATATAGAACATTTTTTATGAGGCAAAATATGTAAGAATGGAAATGGTTAAAGATATTGCACAGATCAAGAATCACTCAAATATGTGAAACCATCAACCAGTTTGCAGACTTGTGATAGAAGTGTCATACCTTCAACCTAGTTTTACCATCATTGATAGCCCTCTCAGTAGCTTGTAGCACATCATCATAGAAATATTTCCTGATTTCTCGAGAATGGGGAATATTGTTTAGTCTAGTAGGAATCCCTCTCCACTTATCCTGTAAAAAGCTAAGGCAAAATTAGAAACAATATACCGAGGAGACTTTTATAGTGCATAAAGGAGGAAAGTATTAAAAACGAAACAGACAAATGCCTATTACAAAGTACAACTGTCTACCTGGCTCAAAGATGTCCGTCCTTTCTTTGAATCAGGAATTGATTTTTCTGAGTTAAAAGAAATTAGTAAATGACGTTAAAATATACGAATTGTTCCTGCTTATGGCATGGGAAAAACCCCATGTCAAGATGTCCAAATGTTATTATCATCTCATTCAGAAAGTAACGTGTGATCCCACATATCTTAACAAAACTGAATAACGGAAAGGAAAACCCTATTTTCCCCCAAAAACCACCACTCAAAGCATCATATTTACCCAAAATAATCACAAAATTCCCCTTCTACAAACGCCTTATGTTATGTCACAAAATTCATTAAGAATGTTAGTTGTTTAGTTTAGGACTGCTATTTTATTTTATTATTTACTTTGTTTCGAATAAGTAAAAGTCAATTTCCTATTTTTTAGGATTTAAACAGGTCTGTTTTTAATTTGTTAATCGTGACCTCTTTAAAACAAATTACTTTGTTGGTGGTCGGTTATTTTTCATTGGTTATATATGTTTTGAAATAATAAAGACAAATCCTCTGCTACAACGTTTATTTGTTCTCTCTTAGCATAATACCACTTATACTCTCTCCCTTATATTATCATTGTTCATTTACTGCAATCATATAATGACATTAATTTGGTATCCGAGTTCTATTCTTGAGGGATATGTGGAATGGAAGCTGCATCAGGTTTCTCTCAATTTACTCCTCCTATCTTTGATGGGAAGAACTATGACCTATGGGCAGTAAAATTGGAGTCTTACTTAGAAGCTTTGGATTTGTGGGAAGCCGTGGAAGAAGATTATGAAATACTTCCGCTGTCTAACAATCCCTCCATGGCCCAAATAAAGACCCACAACGAGAAGAAAACCAAGAAGGCAAAGGCAAGATCATGCCTATTTGCTGGTGTTTCGGAAACCATATTTACTAGGATCATGACTTACAAGTCAGCAAAGTCAATTTGGGATTACTTAGAGGAAGAGTATGTAGGGGATGAGAGAATTTGAGGCATGCAAGTTCTGAATTTGATGCAGGAGTTCAAACTGCATTGCTAACAAGGTTATATTGCTTGGCACCAACTTTTCTGATTCTAGAATAGTTGAAAAAATTCTGGTTACAGTTTGTTAGGTTCCCTTCTAAGAACCCTCCACAAACAGTCTAAAAGGCACACAACACACCCACACCCAGAAGAAAGAATGATATATTCTTGTATTGATAGTAAAGGAATACAGAGTATGTGAACTTGAGAGCTTAACCTCCCCCTTAGGAATGATATATTCATGTTAGACTTCTACAAAACAATCAACTCCCCATTCATAGCTATTCAGTTAGCTATTTATACAAACGAATACCCACTCCTCCTAACTGCCAAAACAGTTAGGTATTCCCAGTTTTATTCCTTCTCTCGTAAACCCTCCAACTCTTAACATTACACCCCCGGCCGAAATAACCTTGTCCTTAAGGTTGAAACAGGTAAGCTTGATCAGGAGGCTTGGGTGGTGGCAAATCCTCCTCTTCATCGTCTTCTTCATCCTTTGCTAAGAGTAACACGCACAAACTTCTCTCAGCGCAACGATGGCCAGGGGCGAAAGGGCCCCCACAACGAAAGCATCGGCCCTCTTCCTTCCTCTTAAGGAATTCTGGGTAAGGAAGATTCCTCACCATTCTTCCCCTGTTATCGCTTCCTCCGGTAGTGTTCACCCCCACATTAGTACTCGTCGACCCTATACTCTCCGTTCCTCCGGACTGGTTCATCGTGGGTTTATTAGGTTCGGATCGCACCACTACCCCCGTCGATCGCGACCCTGATGGGTTAATCTTGAACCCACTCCAGTTGCCCCCTTTCGCTCGTAGCGTCGCATCTTCCACGTCGCGTGCGATTCACATTGCCACCATCAACTCCTGAGGATCTTGAATCCTCACCTGTCCCTTGATGTCCTCGCGCAATCTGGCGAGGAAATAGCCCAAGACTTGTTCTTCGGGTACGCCCTTGGTTTTCCCCATCAAAATCTCAAAATCGCGAACGAACTCCTCCACCGTGCCATCCTGGCGTAATGTCGCCTGCCTCTCAAACACCGTCCCCCGGAATCCTCCTCCAAACCGGTTGACCATGGATGTCTTCAAGCCTTCCCAAGAACGGTTCTTTGCCTTTTCTTTCCAAAACTTGAACCAGTAAGCCGCACTTCCCTCCATGCTAACTACGCGAGCTCCACCTTTTCTTCTTTGCCTGTCACCTTCTGGATATCAAAGAATCTCTCCGCCCTATTGATCCAACTAAGGGGCTCCAACCCATCAAACGTAGGTAAATCTACCCTTTTCTGCCACGGTCTCTGATTGTCATTGCGGTCGCCGACTCCTCTGATTTATTCCAGTTTTATTCCTTCTCTCGTAAACCCTCCAACTCCTAACACAGTTCCTGAGAGATATGAAGCATCAATAACCAGATTGGAGAATACAAAGGATTTGTCCAAGGTTGCTCGGGCAGAAGTCATACATGCTTTACAAGCCCAAGAGCAAACGAGACTTATGAGGCAAGATTGCATGGTTGAAGATGTTCTGCAAGCAAAAGGTCAACAAGTTGGAACAAGAAAAAAGAAAAACTTCAAGAAGACAAGTTTTCAGGAAATGAGAGTACTGAAAATAATTACAGTAAAGGGTAAAAAGAAAAGTTACCCACCTTGTCAACATTGTGGTAAAATAGGTCACCCTCCATTTAAATGCTGGAAAAGGCTTGATGGAAAATGCAACCACTGTAACAGACTTGGTCAAGAAGCAGTGATTTGCAAAGCAAAATTTCAACAACAAGAAGTTGATGCTCAAGTAGCTGATCAAAAGGAGGAGGATCAACTTTGTTGCTACGTGTTTCTCAAGTAGTGATTCAAGTGAAAGTTGGTTAATTGACTGAGGTTGCACTAACCACATGACTCATAACAAGGAGTTGTTCAAGGAATTAAAAAGCACATAAACTTCAAAAGTCAGAATTGGCAATGGACAACATATAGCAATGAAGGGAAAAGGTAACATTGCAATTGAAAGTTGTCTTGGAACAAAGCTTATATTTGATGTTCTGTATGTTCCAAAAATTGACCAAAATCTGTTAAGTGTTGGTCAATTGATGGGAATGGCTTTAAAGTTTATTTTGAAGACAAATACTGTTTGATAAGAAATGTCTCTGGTCAAGAACTATTCAAGATCAAGATGAAAGGAAAGAGTTTCACCTTTAATCTATTGGAGGAAGAACGTGCTGCTTTTCTAATTATGGAGAATGTCACAGAGTTATGGCATAAGAGGCTCGGTCACTATCATCATCAAGGATCAACACAGAAGCTTCAATTGGTCCATACTGACTTATGTGGACCACAAAGAACACCATCTCTCAAAGGTAGTCTTTACTATATTGTGCTCATTGATGATTTTACAAGATTTTGCTGGATTTTCTTTTTAAAATTCAAGTCAGAAGTGGCTAGAGTGTTCTGGAAGTTCAAAAAAATGGTGGAGAATCAAATGGGTTGCAACATTCAAGCTCTATGGTCAGACAATGGAAAAGAATACACCTCAGGAGAATTGAATTAATTCTGTGAGAATGTTGGCATATAACACCAATTCACTGCTACACTCTCCAACAAAATGGAGTTAGTGAGAGAAGAAACATATACATCATGGAAATGGCAAGATGCATGCTACATGAGAAAAATCTACCAAAACAATTTTGGGTTGGGGCGATAAATACTGCAGTCTTTCTTCATAATAGACTTCCTACAAAGGCAGTGAAGAATTTGACATCCTTTGAAGCTTGGTATGGATATAGACCATCTCTAAACTTTTTAAAAGTGTTTGGTTGTTGTGCTTCACCTATATTCCACAGGTTAAGCGTGATAAACTAGACAACAAGGGAGTACATGGAATCTTTGTAGGCTATAGTACAGTATTTAAGGCTTACAAAGTTTTTCAGCCACATACAGGAAATATTGTCATAAGCAGGGATGTAAACTTTGTGGAGAATGAAGAATGGAACTGGGTGCAGAGAGATCAATCCTTAAAGCAGCCATACGTTCCTGCTGCCACAACTATTGAAGAACAAAGAGATGAAGATTGGCTAAATGAGATGGTGGATGACATTCAAGTCAGAGGCACTAGATTGCTTCCTGATATTTATCAATCTTGCAGCTTTGCACTTTCTGAACCTGCAGATTTTGAAGAAGCAAAGAATGATCAAAACTGGATGGCTACAATGGAGGAGGAGCTTCACATGATCCAAAAAAACAAGACATGGCAGCTTGTAGACAAACCTCAAGATAGAAAAGTAATTGGGGTTAAATGGGAGTTTCGAACCAAGCAAAATGCAGATGGCTCAATCAATAAGTATAAGGCAAGACTTGTGGTTAAAGGTTTTGCTCAAGTTTTTGGAGTGGACTATTCAGAAACATTTGAACCAGTTCCTAGGCTTGATACCATTAGGTTTCTCCTAGCTGTTGTTGCACAAATGGGTTGGAAGGTCTACTACCAATTGGATGTTAAATCAACATTTTTGAATGGTTTCTTGTAGGAAGAAACTTAAGTTGAGCAACCTGAAGGATTTAAGAAAAAGGAGAAGATAAGGTCTATCTTTTAAAGAAGACACTCTATAGATTGAAGCAAGCTCCAAGAGCTTGGTTCAGCAGAATAGACAATCATTTGTTAAATATAGGATTGACAAAAAGCTTATCTGAGTCTACTCTTTACATCAAACACTGAAGGGTTGACACTATCATTATTTCTCTTTAAGTTGATGATCTTTTAGTAACTGAAAATAATGCATTCTTAATTGACGAATTTAAGATAGAAATGATGAAATTTTTTGAGATCATTGATCTTGGATTGATGACTTATTTTCTTGGAATGGAGATTAAGCAAAGCCAAGATGAAGTTTTTGTTTGTTAAGTATGGCAAGCAAATTCTCAAGAAGTTTCATATGGAAGAGTGCAAGTGTATGAACACTCTATGAATATAAAGGAAAAATTCAGCAAGGAAGATGGAGCTGAAAGAGTAGATGAGGCATAATTTAGGAGTAGGATTGGGTGTCTAGTGTAGCTTACAGCAACAAGACCAAACATCTATTTTATCTCAATCCATGCACTGTGCAAGTGAAACACACCTGAAGGCGGATAGAAGAGTACTTAGATACATCAAAGGTACAACCAATTTTGGCATTAAGTTCAAGAAAAACAAGGATTTCAAGTTGTTAGGGTTCTCTAACCGTGATTGGGCAGGGTGCATTGATGATATGAAAAGCACCTTAGGATATTGCTTTAGTATTGGATCTGGAGTTTTTTCATGGAGTTCAAAAAGAAAAAAGAAATAGTGGTTCAATCTAATGCTGAAGCAGAGTTTATTGTTGCAACTACTGCTATCAATCAAGCCTTGTGGCTTAAGAAGATATTGAGTGATCTTAAAGGAAGACACTAAGATCTTTGCTCACAATCAAGCTGCAATAGCTATTTCACATAATCTTATATTTCATGGGAAAACTAAACACTTCAACATCAAGTTTTTTTTCTTAAGAGAAGTGCAAAGGGATGGTCTTGTAACTCTTGTCTATTGGAAGACCGAAGAACAAATGACTTATATATTTATTAAGTCTATACCAACAAACAAGTTCGAGATCCTGAGAATGAAACTTGGTGTTTGCTCTTCCTAAAGCAAGGAAGAGTGTATTAGTTGTTTAGGACTGCTGTTTTATTTTATTATTTACTTATTTATGTTTTGAATAAGTAAAAGTCAGTTTCCTATTTTTTTAGGAGTTAAACGGGTCTGTTTTTAATTTGTTAATTGTAAGCTCCTTAAAACAATTACTTTGTAGGCAGTTATGTACTTTTCATTGGTTATATATGTTTTGAAATGATAAAGACAATACTCCACTGCTGCAACGTTGATTTGTTCTTTCTTTTGCATAATACTACTCATACTCTCCCTTATATTATCATTGTTTATTTCCTGCAATCCTATTTTACCATCCGAATTTTCCTCAAATTAATACCCAGTTTCCGGATTTTGAAACATATGCAAAATTTTATATTTCAGGTTTCTCCTACACCCATAATTTTTTTACCAGAAAACAAGGTTGTGGATGATTTAGGTAATGCAATCTTATAAGAGTTATATTGAACAATTAAAAAATTGGGGAATTAATTTCGAACAACGAATTATCAGAGGACCAAAATCGTGCATTGGCTATTGTGGGAAGTAATAAATATGCAAGCCTAAAGTTTATCTATTAAATATCATGCCAAGGTTCACAATCAGGAACACTATCCCAGGTTGATGAATTACATGACTTCAAAATACAAGGGCCCATTCTGTTTAATAAAATAAAATATTTTTTCTCGGTTTTTATATTTACAATTATACCACTCTGCTTTCACAGTTTTAAACAGATTTTTTAAAACAAAAAAAAAATGGAAACAATGTGGTTCTTTTCAAATTAATTGTTAAAGAAGCAAAATAGAATTTTTTTTTCTTCTAAACTTACAATTTCCTACAGATATATAATACATGCTTTTGAAGCTTCGTACCTCCAGATTTCACTAGCTTTACTTTATTATGTTGCAATTGAGATAGCAAAGATTCAATTTCATTGAAAACCGCTTCTTTTGAATTGCTGCCATCAATCTGTGCATGAAAAATTAGTTAAATGTGAGTGATATCCCAACCCCGGTTCACGGCCCGACAAAAGATAGACATATGAGAATGCTAATAGTCTCCAATGACCTTATGAATTGTATTTGAGTACGATGAAGATACGGCTTCTGCATTTTGCTTGTATATGTTGAGGCGAGATTTGACCTGAAAAGCAAAACATAAGTATACACAAGGATGTTAGATCCCTGTAAATGTTAACAGAGAAAATGTAATATTTTTTCTTTGTAATCTTAAATAACAATACGACAGAAGCTTACTAAATTATTTTTTTCCTATAAGACGAGCTTAATGACTACATGATACATTTTCTGCTTCCAAACTAGCACTGAAATAAAAGAAAATGCAATGTCACCCTGTAGAATTTAAGTATTTTAATAAAATACTTGCAGTGATCCTTTAGAACTCCTCCCTTTACTAACATAAATGATAATTCACCTGTTCGTGTAACTTTGGACTCTGAATGCTGTTACTACTTCCTAGAAAAAAAATAATTAATGGCTATGGTTAACAAACACCTTGCTTGTGAATATATGAAGCGAAAGAAACAAAAATCTGAAAGAGTTATACGTGAATTTGATAATGCATCACGCATTGAGCAGATTATGCACATGATTGACACCATCATTACAATGCAATTATGCTGACTGATAAGCTTCTTTGTCGATTCAGTTGAAAATAGTCTTCAAGGTACACTATGATTATATGACAACTAAGATCTTTAGCTTCGCAGAAATATTGTGATAAAACTTGCCATTTAACAAAATCAAATCTCATCAGTGGTGACAAGTATTTAGGAGATCATTTCATGCATGCACAGACCATCTTTTCCAGCTGCCAAGGAGTATAAATAACAAATACATTTTCAAATGATGCAGCTTATGTGAAGTACCAACAAAGAGAGACAAAACAAAATAAAAGGAGTACAATCATACCTTCTCCTCAGTGTCGTCAGGTCGAGTTACCAGCCTTGCTTTAATCTCTTCAGTCTCCGGTGGAAAAAAAGTTAGATGGTATATCTTCCCTGTCACTGGTTCAAGCCTTCTACCAACACATCTGTCGATCAGAATTTCATCAGGAACCTGAGTATTAGAAATTCAATCACTTAGCGAGGAAGATGAATGTATAGATTTCTGATTCTAGGTAATTAAATAACATGTAACATGTCAATAACACCAAAGGACCAACTCCTATACCTATTATAAACAACATTATTCACATACTTTCTCTTCCATCTCCTTTTCATCTCATTTTCTTCCTTTCCCAATATTTCTCGTCCCATCACTTATCACATTTTTCACTTTCCCTCTTATTTTTCTTTATTCATTCTAACTCCACCCTCAAGCACCATGTATCTCTCATTTCTCTTTACAAACAGGTCACATTTGCACCAACAATGAAAAACTTAAAATAATAAACAAAATCTTATTAACCTTAAACAAGATTTTAAACTTTCATTGCAATCATATGAAGTTTCTTTGCAACATTTTATGCTGTGGAAAATTATGACCAATTGTGGTTCGCAAGACCCCAAAAACCTTGAAATTGGCAACCATTTTTTTAAAACTATCTTAAAAACAACTGCAAATTGTGCAGAAAAAGTTTTTGGAAAGTGAGAAAAACAAAACAAAAATAAACGTTTGACATACATCCAATACTATATACACATCAGGTCGTATCTGCATTTTCTCCAGACTCTGGGCCTGGCCCAAACTTCGAGGGTACCCATCAAGAAGCCACCCCTTTTGCTTAGCATCTTCGAGAGACAATCGTGCTGCCACCATCTACAAAAAAAGAATATACATTAACCAAACATTTTATTTTCATGGCACAAAGGCTGGGTTTAATAATTATACTGCTGTCACAATTTCATCAGGAACCAGTTGGCCCGCGTTCATGAACTCTTTTGCTTTATTCCCAATTTCAGTTCCAGCGGCCACCTCTGCTCTTAGCAAATCCCCAGTTGATATGTGCACCAATCCAAACTGCACAACAACAAACAAACAAACAATTTATTCATTTATTTGCTACACATCAATTACTTTATTTATTTATTTACTAACTTCAGTCATTTTTTAACTAATTTTCTACCAAAATTTCCAAACAAAAACGAATTACAAGTTAAAATTAGTTTAAAAGTTATTTCTTATAAATTTTTAAATTATAAAAAAATTCTATAATTATTTTCCGTGCAAACAAACCTTTAATCTTCTTGCTTTTCTTGGTTAAATTACTTCCAGAAAAATAAAATAGAAAGGGAATGGCACGTGACGTGTGGTAGAAACGAACCCTTTGGACAATTAATTCACATTGCGTGCCTTTGCCGGAAGCAGGTGCACCTGATATCATCACCTTCAGAGGATCGCTGATGGAACAATTCACTTTGAGCGTCTTGTTAAAGACAATGACACATGTAAGGTACTTACGTTTGCGTGGTGTAAGAAAGCGGATGAATAAATTAGTAAATGATAATAAAGAATTGTAACCTTGGTGGTTAACGGCGATAGTGTGTGGCAGCGGAGGTTGGTTAATCGGAGAGGTTGTGTGCAGAAGGAGAAGTGGCAGTGGTGTAGACATGAATGGTGAAGGGGAGTGAATGGAAGAGAATGAGAGGTTGTGAGAGTGGTGGTGCGGTGGAAGGAGCAGCTGGGTGCGGTGTTTATCATCGTAGCTGTCATTTGGGATCGGTCGAATCAGTTGAGTGGTTCAGAACACTCTCATGCACCCTCTAACAAATGTCTCTACTTCTTTTCCTTTGCTTTAAGACCACTATCATTTGTGTAAATTGATTTTTTTTTTAATTTATTTTTTTCTTATTTAAATTTGGGATTTTAGGTTGAAAATTAAAAATCAAACCACATCATTTATTGCGTTTTAATTTAATATTATATATTTAAAGTTAATTAGTTAGCAACAAATATATAGGTATATTTATTGAAAGTTTTTACAATATTATAGTGTATTATGCTATATTTTATGTGGTGGTAAATATCAATTCTCTTTGTATTAATCAACAAAATATGGCTTGGTGATAGACAAAGTTGATATAATTCTATTTAAAAAGAGGACAACAAAAATTCTATTTTTATTCATATATATATATATATATATATATATATATATTGATTATATCATCATATATTGTGCTACTAATAAAAGTTGGTAAAGTGAATTAATTTTATGGAGTATAATTTTCTCTATTTCGAAAACAATGAAATTTAATTTTATGAAGTATATTGTATTTTCTTTTTCATGTTATAATTGTTATCCTTATGCGTTTATTTAAATGTTAACTTCCTAGCATCTTTATAATAATTTCATTTTTATTTATCATAAAAATGTAAAATTGATATTATTTTCAAATAAAAAATATTATAAATTATTAGTTTTTAATTAATTTTTGTTAAAAAGTTGACTTTTAAGTAAAATTTTAATATTACAATCACTAAAATTTATATAATTATATATCATAATCAAATTAAATTATAAATTGTTTGGAGTTGTTTAAAACTTCTCTTGTTGGAACAAAATTGAATGAGATGACTTGAATTGAAGATCATATAACACTATACATGCCATGTTCCACATTCTTTCAATGAGAAAAGCAACTCATGCTTTAAAAATACCGAACCAAATTTTATTTACAGGATGAAAATGTCATTTTAATATTAAAAAACTTGTTTTAAAAAACCCTTGAAAATTCATTGGTGCACGTTGTACCACATGTCAATCCTTGCGTCCGCTTTTGATTTATTAATCCAGTTTGCTAAAGTTAGAGCTGTTTGTGTTGTTGTGCGTGGTACTGTCACATAAGAGTACCACGCAGCACGACTGAGTGGGACCAAATGCAGCACGACTGAACCACAAAAATTAGTTATAAATCATGTCCAAGACTGCATAGAGATCTTATTCTTACCTAGTTAAGTGTAAACGCAATTTGCTGCAATTTTATTGAAAGTGGAGTTTGTTGCAGGCAACTGCCATAAAGATATGAATTACATCCCCAAACATCAACTACCAACAGTAAAATTACATGCTTCAGAACGCCAAGAAACTTATCAATTGCTAACTACATCATGCAATGAATATTTTTTTTTATATCTGGCAAAGAGTTAAGCAAAACAGAATAACATAGCTGCACTAAGTTTACTATGTTCCCTAACAAAATGAACTGAAATAAAGTAACAAGAAATTGAACAATTCAAAGGGTCCTCTTGATAAAAACTGTTCTCTGTAGGGGTAATCTGTAAGCGAGTTAAGTCTTCAATCCAACTTGACTGAAGAGAACAAGTAATGAATGAACCAGAATGAAGAGAGGAACCCAATTGTACCTGTAGAGAGCATGATTGCTAGAACCATGAAGAGTGAGTATCCCAAGTACAGAGTAGCAGACACAGGACCACTCAAACTCTTGAGATCAAACACAAGATAGTTAATGGAGTACAGAAAGATGTACAAGGCAACAGAACCGGAGGCAAAGAAAGATTTCCACCACCATTTCCAATCCTCCACACACAGGTGCATGTAAGTAAGAACTAAAGATACCTCAGCACAAACCAGCACAAGAAGGATCAGAACAACGAAGAGGAACCCGAAGACATAGTAAACTCGACCCATCCAAATGCTAGACATGATAAAAAAGAGCTCAATGAACAAGGTGCCAAATGGAAGGGTGCCAGCACCAAGAACTAACAGCCATGATGGGTACTTTTGCTGGGGAATTTCACGAGGAATTTGGTTGGTTCGCACTGGATACTCAATGTGGGGTGCCTTGGCTCCGAAGTAGCCACCAACAAGGGTAAGGGGTACAGATATGCAGAACCAAAGCAAGATTAGTATCACAAAGAGTGAAAATGGAATGGCTCCAGTGCTGTGGCTTCCCCACAAAAGGAAGTTCAAGGTTGTGAGGATCAAGAAGGAAATTCCTGGGAAGAAACACGCGGCCTTCCATGCGATCGAAACCCAGCCCTTCTGATCTCCAAAGGCAATTGTCCTCCACAACCGAACTGAGACATAGCCAGCAGCAATACCAAGTATCATGTAGAAAAACAGCATACCTGTGATCAGTGTTCCGCGAGATGCTGGTGACATGAATCCTAGTGCAGCAAACAAAATTGTCACAACAGACATACCAAGAATCTGAACCCCATCCCCAACCATCACACACAACAAAGCAGGATTCGATGGAGCACGGAAAACATCTCCCACCACAAGCTTCCAACCAGATAACTCTTCATTCATCTGTGCTTGAGCCTCCTTGTCCAGCTCCTCATAACGGGTCAGATCTCTCCTAACAGTTCTCAGGAAGATCACAAGAACAATACCAGCAAGAAAAGTGATCACCATAAGCGAATTGAGGATAGAGAACCAATGCACTTTAGCTCCCTCCATCTTTAAGTAGGCATCCCATCTAGATGGCCACTTGATGTCACTCTCCTCAAAGGTCACCTCGTAACTGAAAACAAGAGGCTGACCCTCTTTGATAGGCATAGCCACAGTGGCCGGATCGCATCGGATAGACGAGGGATACTTGTCATACATCTTCAAGTTTTTAGCCATATCAACATTATGCATGATACTGCAAGGAATCACCTCGAACCCCACAACCATGTATCCAGGCTTCTCAGAAGAGTCCTCCTTGCCAACAGGGATCATTTCTGCGCCATCGCCGGTCCCCATTACTCGAGCCACATTGGTCTCCTCATACTTGTGAACAAGAACATTGAACTTGAGATGGTTAAACACATAATAAGCATCCTCGATCTTAACACCAACAGGGTATCCCGTCCATCTCATAAAGTACCCTTCTTTCTGTGTGAACCTGATAGCAGGTAAATTATCAAGAATCAAGTTAACCTGATACATCTCGTCAATCCTCTCCTTCAAGATCTTGAACTGATCCCCGGACAATGACTCCACCCGGCACAAGTAAATCTCAGATTCATTTGTGTGCATCTTAAACCTGTAGGGAGAGTTCTCTATTCTGTCACCCATGAGGAGTTCCCCAAGATTCTCAGCACTGTCCTTGATACCTCCCTCAGGTTTGCAAAAGGGCAAACTGTAATAGCTAAAGGGCATCTCTGTGTCAATGGAAGTAAGCGAATTCACTTTCACCCACAACTCATCCGTGACAACATACTTGTGGGGATAACTACCAGGAAGGTAGAACCCATAATTGGGTTGAATTTGAAATGTCAAGAACAAGATCAAGGTCACCCACATCCCAAATTGTGCAAAATATTCCATCTTAGCAAGATTCACTGCGGATTCGTGCCAGATCTGACAGACCCAGATACAGCAATGAGCGAAAAAAATGCAGATAAGATAAACTACACAACAGAAAATATAATGGAATTGGAAGACTAGATACAAAAGAGTACTATAACTAACTACATAACATAAAAGATAATGGGAATGTGGGTTTGATAATCGAAGAAACAAACATAAACAAAAACAAATATCACAAAATAATGTTTTATATCACTGACCTCATGCACAGAAAATGTGGCGTGTAGATTAAAAGTCTGAGCGCATGAAAGAAATGAAGATTTTCTTCAAGCGCTGCAGAGGAAGGGCGAAGAATCGGAATGAATGAACTGCAAAACCAAGGAATATGTGCACGTTTAAATATCCATGTTTGGTTTTGTTTCACTTTCCTTGGAGAGCTGGTCACTTCGCTGATGAAGAATCAGTAAATGACATTAATACCCTTACCTTACTTATGAACAACGGACAAACTCCAAAATCCCGTTGTCACCACTCACCACCGTTTCAGTAACCCAGTACCCACCGACACCGACACTTCCTATTTTTCACTCGTTTACGATTATTTACTTTTTCAATATTTCCACTTCAGCAACTTTTTGTCTGAATCAAACTCGGTAATATTTAACTTAGATCAGGAGATAACATCTATAAAAATTGCAAAATTAAGGATATTTATTTAAATTTAAGTTAGCTAGATTTGGATTATTTAGCTTAAAACTAAAGAACGCATGTTCATAGTAAATTAATAGTCAACATTGTAAGCTTGTATGAGAAGTTTAATTCCATCTTTTTAAAATAAAGAATGATGAATAATTTATAGATATCAACGAGATGTATCTTTTTATTATGTAGTCGATGTTGTGGTTATTTCTATCATTTTTTTTAATTATTAAATGTATAGCAAAGTTTTCGGCAATAAAATTTGTAAAATAGTGATGATTGAGTTTTTAAATCTATAATTAAACCTTATTAAGTTAACAATAGTAAGAAGTTATTAAATTATTATTATAATTTTTAGAATAACTATAATGAAGTCAACAAATTTATTTTATATATATATATATATATATGAGTTTGCTAACGCTGTTCTTCAGTTGACACATTTTAGTAATGTGTACCAGATTTTACTAGACAAAAATACTCTTATATATGTATATAATTGATTTTTAAGTTTTAAGGTTAAGGATATTTTAATAATCTTCATTATTAAAACTTAAAAAAGAAAAAAACCCTTCTCATTCCTCTCAACTCTTTCTCTTTCATCTCTCACTCCAACCTTTTCTCTTTCATCCCTACCCCCAATTGAAAAAAAAAAATCAGAAACACTTACTATTAAACAATTTGTCTTTGAAAAGAGTTGAGTCATTTCACCTTTCAAGATCTCTTGAATTTCACCATCTTCACTATAATCTCTCTAATTTCATCATCTGCATATGTTGAATTATCATTTCTAAAAAATCCCTCCAGGCCAAT